TTTTTAATTATTTATTTTAGAAAATATAGATAAACATATACATTTGACAACTATTTTAGAAGGAGTATTTCCTATAACAAATTTAAGCTATAGGGAAAAATATTTACATAAAAATATTTAACTTTTAATGTAAATAGGTCTTAATTTTTTACTATTTTTTTCTAAAAGAAAGATAGTTTTTGAGTTTTTTTTTTCTTTTTGATGATTGGTTGCACAACAGGAAGCAATCTTCTTTCATCCTTTATTTTACCTCACATGCATGCCATGCGAGTCAATATTTTATATGCGACTTAAATTCAGTACCTTTTACATGCTATTTGAATTGAATTCTGAACCTTTTATTTTCAACAAAAAGAAATTACTACTAAACTATTTAAATCGTTAACAATAGTTTTTGAGATTTAACTTATTGATCAAGATTTGGTTTTACTCCTCACCTTACTAACCAAAATTTGATTTTTTTTTAAGGAGGCTAATAAATACATAATTTCTTATAAACTTTTTAATCCTGACATAAATGTTTTACCTTTAATTGAATTAGGAAGGATTTGTTTTGAGGTGCACGAGTTTACACAAGTTGGTCCAGAGGCACTTTGACCGTTGAGCAATAAAAAATAATAAAAAAAAGTTCGACCAAAAGAAATACAATAATAAAGATAAAAATATTTAGTGATAATATCACATAATATTATAAATTTATAATTATAATGTGTAATTATATTATTTTTTTATTTAAAATTTTATTTATAATATTATATATAATTACTCATTTAAAAATAAATTTATATTTGTAATTTACAATTTTAAATAATATTATAACTTTAACATTGCCGATAATAAAGACCTAAAGCGGATCAATTTCCGTCTACCTTCAAATTTTGTGTATTACTGCCCTTCTACGATATGTGTTTCTGTTCATTAACGCTCCTCCATACACACAAATAGTCTTTTCGAGTTCTCAAATAATCAAAATTCAATCCCAAAAACTAGCTTCATATCATGGTGATCTTAATCACTTAGTAGACTACCTACAAACAGTAGGTAAAAGAAGTGATCTTTTAGTATAGAATCACCTATTCTTCTCTTGATCTCAAAATGGTTACGTTCGGCAGAAAATTTAGAATATGGCTGGCATCCCTGGTATTTGTTCATGGCAGGAATTCCTTTCTTGGCTTTGTGAAAGGTTAAAGCGTAAGGCTTTTCAAAACACCATCATCAAGTTGGCATGGTGTGCAGCAATTAATCTACCACATTTGGAAGGAAAGGAATAACAGATTTCATTATAAAATCTTTAATTATTTAGACTCTCTGCTCCTCAAAACTTAATCCGTGCAGATGTTAGAGATTGAGCGCTTGGCTTTGCCATACTCAGGTCTTCTCCTATGCCACCAAGAATAGCTGCCAAGTGGGGGCTGGAAGTCTTGTGTTCCTTGAGAGGAATTGGTCTCATTCATTGACGAGTGATAAAGAACTCAGCCGCAACCTAACTTTCAAGATGTTTATTCCGCTTTGGGTTGTGTTTTGAGAAATAAAATTTTAGATTTTACACTTAAAAAAATGTTCATCACCACCATGAACTTCCATCTCTTCCTCTCCTCTGCAACCTCTTCCAAGTTTATTGTTATCATTTTCAGTTATAGCTTGACATCCTTAAGCTACTTCAGCATAGCTCGTGCTTATCATTTTGTCATTATATAGTCCACAGTTGTGATTCTTTGACCCTGCTTTCGTTGAACTTTTATCATCTTAAGGCAGTTCGAATTTCTCAGAACAGAAAGATTTCATGTATACAATCAAATTCAATAGTTAGGATTCACAACAACAAATTGACCATACTTTATCGTGATATTAAGGGCGCACTCCTTATATGAGCTTCAGTATGACCTCTAAAACTTAAACTTTAAATTTAATTTATAAGACGACTTGCTCTAATACTTAAGGATAAAAGCACATGTACATACATGAATGTTTTTTGGCAAAACCCCCGAATCCTCTCTCAAATGGGAGGATAGAAAGGAATTCGCTACTCAAAAAATGTAGGAATAGAATTTTCCCTTCAATGTAGCATCCAATCAAGATCTTCAAGTTCCAAACTTCTGAAAAAGAACTTCTGGTCTCTTGAGTTGGAAAGAATATCGGCAAATCCTCGTGCGAAATGCGCTACCTGTTCAGAGACAGAAGTTACAAATTGATGCTGAATAAGGTGGTCAACATATTCCTGCCTATTTCTGCTATTTACGGCAATGC